AGGAGGGATCCCAGCTGCCATTTTGGTCCCCCTATCTGTTTAGTAGCTGTCTCCCATACTGGAAAGGCTGGCTTTATTGCATGGCTATCATCCAAGAGGAGCCCACATTTTATCAGGCTCTACTCATCCCCTGGAGAGATGCTCCCAGCCCTTTGCTGGGGTCTCAGACTGAAGTTAAACTCTATTAGGTTAAGAACAAAAGCAGTTCCAGAGGAAAACATTCTCTGGCTGATGCTATGAAAGACCTTCGCCAAGTTTAGTCAAGTGACAAGGAGTTTCTGTCTCTCTTTGTTTCTGCAAAGGATGTAAAATCAGCAGATTATCATAATCATTTGTTTCTGAAGAGCCTATAAAAGCTGTGCCAGAACCTACAAAGAATACGCCTTACCTTGGTCACCTGTTGGGGAGTGGAGAGGACTAACTTTAAGCATGGTGAGCTTGAGATCTTGCTTAGATGGTTTGGATTTGTGTGAGGTCCTCACTAGGGGAGTGACATTGGCCCTGGAGAGTAGGTGGAAGTAGATGTCAGTGAGCTGGAAACAGGGAGACCGAGTAAGCGGGTGTGGCAGGCATCAGGCATGGGTCTCTGAATGAGACATTAAGGGATGAATAGTAGGAGCAGAAGTTAGCTAAAGAATAATGCCGGGGCTGGCATGGAGCTCACTCAGTAGAGTGCTTGCCTCCATCTACGAAGCCCCGGGTTCACTCTCCAACACAGCATACAACTGGGCTTAGTGGTATGTGCCCATCGCCCCCACACTCCCAGCACTTGGAAGGCAGAGGCAAGAGGATCAGCAGTTCAAGGTCATGCTTGGAAATATGGTGAGTTGAAGACTAGCCTGGGATGCTCCAGACCCTGAAAAAAAAAAAAAATGTGCCATCCACGGGCTTTTCTGATAGCTATCACGGGGATGAAAGAAGAGGCAGATGATTGGTTGGAAAGACTCCATCAGGGCAGTCAAGAAGGCAGAGACCTTCCCTGCATACAGGCAGGCATTAGAAGGCGGGAAGAGCCTTGGAAAGGAGAATAATAAGTTCAGCTTTGCTCTCCTCTCTATATTTTGTGACCTTTGGCTGAACGCCACAGATTTCCGAGTGTTCCCAGGGAGAAAGGGAGACGAGGAGCGATGGATGCTGCTGGCTGTCACTCTGGAGAGCTGGCTCTGAGCACTCAGTCTCCGCTCTGTTTGTCCTGCTGCTCTAATTATGCATCTCTCCAGGGAAAACAAACAAGCAAACATTAGCAATGAGAGCTGAGATGAGTAGGACTCATTTCCTGATTCCAGGGATACGCAGAGATGCGCATTCAGATGGCGACATTCAGATGGGGATGTTCTCTGGAAACTTCTTAGACACTGCAGTGCAGGTGCATGCTCCATTGTTGACCTTGGAGCTGTCAAAGGGAGATATAAAATGGTTTCAGAACTAACTTATGGGTTGGAGGCTACCAAGATTTACTATTTTCTAAATACTGGCTCAAGCAGGTTGTGCCTGGACCATTACCAGTTTGCCATATGTCTCAGGGTGACTCTGTTCCCAGCCATTCTGTAGGCTTCATGTGAAGGGTAGTATTAAATTTCAGCTGTCAGAATCATGTGAAAAGCACTCAAGCCTAGCGTTTAGGAGGCTTCATAGGTCTGCATGGGCCTGGTGTCTGTCCGCAGTTAGAACACCAGGCCTGGGTAATATGTATGGCCCTTCTGGCCAGGACCTTAAGTGGATCTCTTGCTAGTCTTTGTCTAGCTGGCTGGGACTTGAGGAGTGTGGCTTGCTGATGGAGTCTCTTTCTTCTGTGCCACACAAATCCCTGGGGGCTTGTTTTCTTGTCTGGAGTGGCTGGCTTTCGATAAAACAACACCTGTGAGTGAGCTCAGGGTACATAGACAGAGAAGAATGGATGGGGTCTAGCCCAACCCAATGCCTGCCTGGAATGCCAGGGGAGGAGAGACTGTCTCTTGTACTCTGGAGAAGTCTTCTGGATCTTGGATCCTGAGTATCCTGGAGGCTTGAAAACTAAATTCAAGGCCTTCTGGCCTTCCTCCATGGGTCCTGTGTCAGGTATTTCCCTTGGAATACCCTTCCACTTGGGAGTTCCTGACACTGCAATTCAAAGGCTGCCTGGGTAGCCCGGATAGGAACAGTGAGGCGAAGGATGAGGACATTAGAGTGAGGCAAAGAATGATGGCTGACCTGCATGACACTTTGACACTGGGGGCCTCAAGCTTGTGGGTCCCTCCCCTAGGCAAATGGGGAAGCCATAGCCCAGTGCCCAAGTTCATTTCAGAGTCACCCTAGGGTCACATCCCAGGCCCTCAGGGACAAACGGACAGACTTGAGGGCTAGTTGTTCTTGTGGCTGGCAGACACTGTGCCCCCTGGAGGCATCTCTACTGAATCCTTAGAACCTATGAGTTAGGTGAGCAGAGTAGACTGATGACAGTTGACCAGTCTTGGATCATCTCAGAGACTCATCTAATCCCATGAACTCTTAAAAGTAGAGACTATTGATGCTGGCTAGTCTTATGCCAACTTGACACAAGCTAGAGTTATCTGAAAGGAGGGAACCTCAACTGAGAAAATGCCTCTGTAAGTTCTTGCTGTAAGGTGTTTTCTTAATTAGTGACTGATGAGGGAGGGCCCAGTTCTCCCTCATTAGTTGTGGGTGGTGCTGACCCTGGGCTGGTGGTCCTGGCTTCTATAGGAAGGCAGACTGAGCAAGCCTTGGGAAGCAAGCCAGTAAGCAGCACCCCCTCCATGGCCTCTGCATCAGCTCCTGCTGTCAGGGTCTTCCCTGTATGAGGTCCTGTCTTGACTTCCATCGATTATGGACAGTGCAGTGCAAGTGAAAGCTGAATAAAACCTTTCCTCCTCAACTTGCTTTTTGGTCATGGTGTTCTGTTGCAGCAATAGAAACTCCAACTAAGACACCATTCCCTAGCTGGAGGTAGAAAAGATAGGGGTGATTTGAAGGTATAGCTTAGATTTGACCTGTGAGTACTGACTCGGAGATGCAGAGATGCGAGGCTGGCTGCAAAGACCCGGAGGCAGGCCCTGGCAGGCACACAAAGCAGGAGGCTGCCTGCAAAGCGGTCTCTGCTAAAAGCCAGTGGATATATGGAACCCATGAGTACCGCTGCTAGGACCCGACTTTAGCGACACACTGAGTGACTATGAAAGCCATTTACCCTCCAAAACGCTAATGAGTCTCTCAGCTGCCACCACCTCACGCCTAGACTTCAGCCTGGTGCTGCTGCCTCAGACACTTAACCTGTGAGTCAGTAAGTTTTAAACCCGTCTCGATCACTTAGAGGAGCCGTAGAATATTGCTGCAGACCCCGAGTCCCCAGCATCCCACCCTGGAGAGAAGCTGGGGGCACTAGCTTCCGCTCCACTAAGAGAAGACTGAGAAAAAAACTAAGGCATGTTGTCCAAAGGCGGGGGCACTTTATCAAAGGGAAGCGACACCAGGTTTCTCCAGACAGGCCTGATCCTTGAGAGAGCCGAATGCTCTTTTGTAACTTATGAAATGGTGGTCTTTGGCTGGCCCCATTCTCTCCAACAGGAACACTCTGGAGGGGTCCCCCAGGCCCTTAGGCCCTGCTCTCAAGGAACTTCATCCAGGGACCTGGGGTTCCTGCCTAGGCTGGGGGCAGCAAGACAGGTGGGAAGCCTGCTGGTTCTATCTGACCTCAGGATTTCAGGCCACTCTTAGATTTGTCCTGCAAAACGAAGGAGTGGAAGGCAACCCCGAAGTTCCCTCCCAAGATCAGCATGCCCCACGTCTGAGAAGGAGTGCCCAGCAGGACAGAATGGGAAGGACAAGGAAGGCTAGTTACAGTCCTAGAATGAATGGTCCTCCAACACCTGCTGGGGAGGCCCCGGCAGGAAGGAGGGCGGGTCTGCCGGCGCCTCGCCTCTCCTGGGCGCGCCCCTGCCCGCCCAGCTCCGGCCCAGCCCCGCCCGTCTGGCCTGTCCCACCCGCCAGGGCCCCGCCGCATCTGCACCCGCTGCAGCGCCCGGCTCCCCTGTCCCGAGCCACAGCGGTCATCTGTAACCCGGTCGCTCCCGGGAATCTGGACCCAGCCCAGAACGGGGGGCCGAGTGGGCATGGCCTGTCCAGGGGCCGCCTCCCGGGCGCTGGCCCTGGCACTTGTAGCGGTGGCCTTGGCTGGGGTCAGAGCACAGGGCGCAGCCTTCGAGGAGCCTGACTACTATGGCCAGGAGCTCTGGAGACGGGGCAGCTACTATGAGCATCCGGAGCGGGAGCCGGAGCTCTTCTCGCCTCCACTGCATGAGGGCCTCGGGGTGGAGAAGCAGGAGCAGCAGGAGCAGCACCAACAGGAGCCCAGGCCGCCCAAGAAGGCCGCCAAGCCCAAGAAGGTTCCCAAGAGGGAGAAGGTGGTTGCAGAGACGCCTCCACCAGGTAACTTTTTGCGTCGGGCGGCCCGAGGGGGCGCCCGCGATCGCCGCATTCCAGGGCACACCTGGCTTCCTAGTATGTCTCCCTGAGTGATCCCAGCCAAAATCCTGTGGTGCTGGCTACTCACTAGAGACTGCGTCTAAGCTAAGCCCAGCTTTCTCTCCCTGCCTCCTCAGGCAGAAACAGAATTGTGCACTTTGAGAAACTGCCTGGGGAGCTGGCCCTCGGTGTCCCAAGAGGTGTCTGTTGCTTCTTCCTGCTCTGTTTAGATCTTCAGTCTTCAGAGGCGTTTTCTTCAGAATGATTTCAATCAGTCGGCATGTGACTGGCTGGTGTTATTTGGCAGATGGTCTTGGCAAGGCTTGGTCAGTGACCTTTATTCAGGCAGTGCCCCGTTCTCAGTTCCCTCCACACCCCTGTCAGTGGGCCCTTGAATCCACTATGCACAGGATGGCACAGTCCCAGCTGGAGACTTCGGACCACTCTTGGCCTTTGTAGCAGCCAAGATTCTGCCTTCTTGGAAAGGGGCAGACTACAGGAGCCCTGGAAAGCTCTGAGTGAATGGCAGCCTGGGGTGAGTGATCCATCCTTTGTGCCCATCTCATTTTTCCTTAAGAGATTTAATTTAAAATCTGTCTTCACTTTCTTCTGGTCCAGCCGTTATCACAAAACCTGTGAAGAGGACTTTCTCTGAATTGTTTCAGATGGTGATTGCTCAGTGTAGGAGTTATGGTCCTACTATTTCAGCCACGCGGAGCCAACAGGACAGTGAACAAATTCTACAGCCTTGCAGGGTCTTTGCCTGAAAAGAGAGTCATATGCTAGGTCACAGAGCTCTGAGCTCAGAAGTGGTTTTCATTTGGTTAACGGATACCAAAGTCATCAACCAGGGTGGCAAGGGAAGATGCAGACACTCTTGAGGGGCGGGTCCCATTTGAGTTCCACCTTTGTATATGGCTGAATCTCTCCATTGACAGTTCTGTGGGTTGTGTGACCCCCCCATAGGACCATAGGGGCTTCCCAATTTTTTTTGGTGGGGGGGGGGGAGGGAGGGTAACAGGGATTAAGATGTAGAAAGCTGCAGTGACTTGGCATCCAAGGGTGGGGATAAAACACTGACTTTGGTAATGTCCACTGGTCTCATTAAATTGTCTTCATGGCTGAGGAAAATGGCTACCCTTGTTATGTTACAGATGAGAAGCTTTAAGCTCAAACAGGGAAGTAACTTATCTTGTTACTGTCTTGCTTGGGAGCATTGAAAACCCACCTTGTCAGCCAAGTCTTAGGCTTGCTGTTTAGGGATCCGGAACTTGAGTACCACTTTTTGGCCTCAGCTGCTTCACCTGCAGATAGAAAGAACAGTGTCTGCCATTGCATTTTACTGTGTCTGATGAAGCCAAAGCCTTTCACAGCATCCTTTAGTGTGCTCTAGGGACCAAGAACATAAGACAACCTGGTCCCTCCTCCAAGGACCTCACTGGAGTTGTGAGACTTTGGGGAAATAATCACAGGTGTGCTGAGAGTTGTATTGAACACGGGATGTCAGGAAAATAGGTAGAAGGATGAGGCCAGTGCTTCCCGGGGGAGATGGCCAACTAGGGCTGATTAGTGAGCTGTCTTTGTTTGGATACTCTTAGTCGTGAGCAGTTATAGTCTTTCCCGAGAGCTCAGGAAGTCACAGCCCAGCCTCAGCAGTGTCTCCAGCTTACGTGTCTGGGGGGGGGGGGGGGGGGGGGGAGTGGGGGGGGGGGGGGCGCGCGTCAGCTATTACAGCCCAGAAGTGGTTCTCCTTCCTTCTGGAGCATTGGCGGTTATCAGCCTTGGAATGGAGTCTCTGAAGGAGAAGTCAAGTATCATCTGGTTTGTAAAAAAGGCCACCTTGCAGATAGAGGTTAGCCTGGGACTAACAGAAAGTTAACTGTTCCTGGTGAATAGTTAGCCACCTGGGTACTGTCTGCAAATGGAAGACACATCCTGAAGCACCAGAATCAGGTTCAGAGGTCTTTGGGGAGCTGCTTCCTGACTCATCGCTATTTTAGCCATTTTCCTAATGAATCAGGTGGGATATCTTAGAGCTTCCCCAGATAGGACAAGTGTGACATTCACCAAATAGTTTAAACTAATACCTCTTTCTCCCCCCACCTAGTGTGGCATGCATGCTTGCGTGAGTGTGTGTGTGTGTGTGTGTGTGTGTGTGTGTGTGTGTGTGTGTGTGTATGTGTTCAATAAAACTTTCAACTGTGGACTCCATGTAGTAGAGGAGAGATTTAAACTAAAATGATCTTGGTTGGGGGACTCAGAAGAATTTGTCCACTTCAGTTGCACAGAGAGATGATTCTATCCCACCTTAAGTGGTGTGCGTGGTATACATGATGCTCATGGTGTCATAGAGGCACTGTTCTGTGTGGTGGGCTATTTTATAAATAGGTTGCCAATCTTAGGAATGTGCTTGAGAGGAGGGAACCTGGGGATCCTGTCTGGGGTGTTAGATGCAAACTTCTGGAATTTACTGCATGGCTATTGAATGCTGGGTTCCAGGACAGGGTAGACACTGTGGTGGGAGCAGAGGGTAAGATTGAGAGATAGGTGAGAACAGAGAACTGACTTGGATATCCCATTTGGAGACAGTGAAATGCTTTCCACTTGGCTCTTGGGAGCATAGAAGTAGGAGTTGATAAAGGAGAAGCAGGAAAAGTGTGTGTGTGTGGTGGGCACTAATGGGGCATGTGTGTGGATCCCTGAGGAGGCTGGTGCAAAGGCTATTGTTCTGGCTTTGAGTTTTGGCTTTGATCCTTGGCAACGGGAGAAATACCCTGTGGATGCCCTGTGCTGATATCTATGGAGGTGGCTTGGAGAATGGAATCCTTTGGCTAATTGGGGGTAGCAGTGAGCATCCTCCTGTGATGGTTGGTTGTCAGCTTGACACACCTGAGAAGCAGGAACCTCAATTGAAGAATCACCTCCATCAGATTGCTCTGTGGGTATGTCTGTGGGGGACTTCCTTGATTGCTAATGGGTGTAGGAGGGCCCGGCCCACTGTGGGTGGTGTTTACCTTAGGCAGGTGGTCCTGGGCTATGTAAGAACGGTAGCTAAGAAAGCCAGTGAATGGCCTTCCCCTGTGGTCTCTGCTTCAAGCTCCTGCCTTGAACTCCTTCCCTAGCTTCCCCTGATGATGAACTGTAGCCTGTAGGTTAAAAACCAATCCTTTCTTCCCCAAGGTGCTTTTGGTAATGGCAACAGAAGGCAAACCAGAAACACCTACTCTGAAAAGCTAAAACTTGAAATGCTTAAAAATCTGAGCCCTTTGAACACCAGTACACTCATGGTGAATGTACCATGAAGCTTTGCTTTAACTCAAAGCTACCTCCAGGCTCTGTGTGTGGTGTATATGACACATAGATTAATTCCATGGTTGGGGAAAACCGTGAAATCTGAAGTGTTTTCGTTCCCAAGAACTTGAATCAGGGACGCTTAAGCAGTATTTCATTTTCAATGGAGAAGGGCCCCGCTGTACTGAATGGAAGAGAACACTGAAAAGCGTTTACTGAAAGTTTGGTTGAGAATAATTATAGACTCATAGGAACTTACAGAAATATTATCGTGAGGTCCCATGACCCACCCCTCAGTTCCATCAATGGGAAATCTTAGGTAACTCTAGTGTAGGTTCCCCAACCCTGACACTTCCAGCACTTTGGACTGAGTATACATGTGCTGGGAGGTGAGGGTGGGGTGGGGGTTGGGTCCTGTATGTTGTAGGATGTACACCTTTGACCAATGAACTACTACAGGACCTTCCTCTCAGCCCTCACAAACAGAAATGCCTCTAGACATTGCCAGCCATCTGCAGGGGGCTGAGAATGACCATTGGGTATCAAAAGCATGGCATAGGATGTTATACGTACTGTGAATTAGATTGTAATATTGCATTTCAGTAGTTTCTTCTCCACGCATGTATGCATGTGTATGTGCATGTATGCGTGTTTTTTTTTTTTTTTTTTTTGAGACAGGGTTTCTCTGTGTAGCTTTGCGCCATTCCTGGATCTCACTCTGTAGACCAGGCTGGCCTCGAACTCACAGAGTGCTGGGATTAAAGGCGAGTGCCACCACCGCCCGGCATGCATTCATGCTTATGTATGCGTATGCACATGTGTGCTTGTGTGTGTATGGGTCCACCAGGGTATAGATAGGACCATGGAATCCTCGTCTGAGGCCTTTTGTAAGCGTCAGTTTATCCCAGAATCTTAGAACTTTTAGGAAAGTAAATGGTCACAGTGCAAATTCCTATCCACTGCAGGGTTCAGACAATAGCTGCCCAGCCTCTGCTCCACCCCTCCCTGGATGAGCTCTCCCCACTTCAAGGCCATCTACTCATTGGATGGGCAGTGCTGATTGCTAGAATATTCTTTTTCATCGACAACCTCCTTCTAACTCTATTTATTCAGCTGTTTCTGGTTGAATTCCACAGTTTCTGCAGTTGGAATGCTTTGTGGTCCCAGGAGTGAGCCTCAGGTCCCTAGTTTTCATTATCCAGCATGAAGAATAAGATAACAGCTCCATGGGGGTCATGCCAGTGGATGTAGGGTGTGCTTATTTTGGGTTGCCTTTGAATTGTGGCCACACTCCTTTTAGAGGATGAAATGTAGCCAACTGATAGACCACAGTTGCATAATTCACCTGCCTTTTCCTCCCACATGGCAGAAAGAAACAAACAAGGCTGGGAATAAGGGATTTGAATATTGTTTTCTCCCCTCCTCGGCTTAGGAGCCGACTCGAATATGGTGGCTTCAAATCTGATTTCCCACTGACTCCTTTGTCTGTACCATTTCCAGGCATCGGCTAGAAGGTACCACTGTTTGGATCTGAACAAACCCGCATGGATCCCCTAGTCCGGAGCTAGTCCCTCTGGGACATGCTGAGTGTGGAGGGAGCCATTTTTTGTTTGTAGGTCTATGCCTGGAATCATCCAGTTTGTGTTTAGTATGTGTTGTGTCCCGGCTGTCAGGGGAAATAAAAAGGTGGCGATTTGTGCCTATTTGCTTGTAAACAAGGCTCTTTCTGGGTGAGCTCTTGCTGGTTGGTAGAAAGGGCTGTCCTGTAAAGCTTTGCCTGGTCTCTTGTTGGGTCAGAGCCGCCTGACCTTTGTTAGAAGTGCCCTAACTTGGGCAAAACTTAAGTCTGAGGAGGAGGTATTTGTCAATATTTCAGTAGTGTTCTTAATAAGCTCAGGGAGTGTCATTGGCATACTTAAAGAACAAGAAAGCCTTGATGGCTGCCTGCATGCTTTAGTATCAGACCTGAAGTATTTCATCCAAGTCACCTCCCTGCAAAGCTCCAAGGAAAAGGATGGATTAGGGAGGGAAAAAGCATTGCTTTCTGAGGCACCGCTACCCTTTCCAGAACCCTTTCCAGAACTCTTTCCAAAGCTAACTCACTGCTGGCCTGCTCCTCCTGCCTGTGCCCATGGCTCCGGAAATTAGGGTTGTGCCTGGATGAGAGACAGTGGAGACCCTACAGGGGTGGAGGAAGCCAGATTGCATGCTGTGCTTCTAAAACAGTTGTGGCATTTCCCCCATCTACCTCTTGTGTCTGTGACTGCCAAGTCTCAAGGTGACCGTGCTTCATTTAGACTTGGGACAAAACCAGTTTTAACTCCAGAGCCTGGATTTTGTGGTGAGACCTCCTTTGTATGTCCCAAAGGGCTAGGAAGACAAGTGCCAATCTAGTGTCACCCAGCAGTGACAGGTTCTGTCCTCTGAGACCCTCTCAGGTCCCTGTTCATGCAGCTGCCACTTGGATTGTGAAATCTCTGAGTTAGGTTTCTTTGACTGGCTGTGGGAAGGGTTAGTATCCTTAAGTGGCTGGCCTCTGTCTCACTGGAGGTGACTGCTGGCTAACATGGCAAAGAATACCTACCTTCATGTGTTGATCAGCTTCTGATGCCATAGATTTGAATATACTATATACGCCATGCAAGGCATGTACAATGCTCCCTGGTAAGCCTGTTGAGGATTCAGAGAAAGCTAGGGACCGAACTGTGCTCCTTCCGGGCACATGTGACTTTCCAAGCCTTGGTTCCTCCATGGAGGATTGTGTCAATAGCACTCACACTCCCTGTTGAGGTGTGAGGTTAGATGGGTGTGGCCCTGTTGGTTCCGACAGGGGTGGGATGGGGCAGTTTTGTGTCACCTTTTCCCCCGGCTCCTGGAGTACCTGCCAGGCTGTGTCCTACAGACGCTGACAGGCAATGCCCCTGGGTTGTTGGCATCCCTTTTCTCCTCGTAGCCCCTTTCCTTCAAGCTACATGCAGTCATCCCCCAGGTACGATCCTGCAGCACATGCCTGCTTCCCTCAGCGTGTTCTCGGCAGAACCCAAACCCAGGCAGATAGGTGCTCCGGGTACCTGCAGAGCCTACAGATCCTACTGCAGAGCCTACTCGCCTGCACACACCTGCCTGCCTGCTGCTGGTCCTGGGGTCTTTCCTTAGAGACAACAAACTTCCACTCCATACCCTGTTTCCTCTGACACTATCGTCAGAATTGGAAAGGGGCACAGGCTGTCCCCTCTCTGTCCCTTTCCTGCTCCTATCTGCATAGAGCAGGGACTTCTTTATATATACACATTGTAATGTAATTACATAATTTCTCCTCTCTCTTTCCTCCCTCCAATCCCTCTCATGTACCCCCTTGCTTTCTCTGAGTTTCATGGCCTTTTCTTTAATTGTATATACACTATCTATACATGTATGTATAGATATATAGATACGGATAGATATAGATTCCTAAATGCGTAACTACAACCCACTCAATTCCTATAATGTTACCTGTATGTACTTGACCTCAGGGCTCACACTTGGTATTAGATAACCAAGAGTTGGGATGCTCATAGTACTGTGTCTAGGATTGAGTCCCCTTGACCTTTTCCCCTTTCATGTCAGAATATCCACTGACATTGTCACTGTTCAGGAATTGTTTGGGCTGCTATGCTGATAAGACTTTGTGGAGATAGCCTGTCTCACATTTCTAGGAGACACAGTCCTGGGAAGCGTCCTGTTCCTCTGGCTCTTACACCGTTTCTCTCTCCTTTTTTGCAATGATCCATGAAACTTAGGTGCAGGAATTATGCAGTAGATGCATCAGTTGGGACAGGGCGCCACATGCTCTCTTGTCCTCTGCATTTTGATAGGTGGTGGTTTCCTGTAATAGTCTTTATCTGTTGCAAAGAGAAGTTTCCTTGATGAGGGGTGAGGACTGCACTTATCTATGGGGATAAGGATAAATATTTAGAATGTAGTTAGAGATTATGCTGGTTTAATAAAGAGCTGGATGTAGGTTCTCCTCCAAGATCCATGTCTTCACCGCCCTGAGTGGCTAGCTAGGTTTCCAGGACCAGGCATGAGTGAACTTTAAGTCCAATTAGAGAGTGGTTAGGTACTGCCAGCGCGTGTGTGCCACTGTCGCGCCCTTAGGGCTATCATGGCGTGCTGGACTTCACTGCGGACCACAGGCATCATAGCTCGGTAGGACTTTTGTTTGCTTCCCTCCCTGGAAGCTTCATAATGCTGTCTGACACCACACAAACTAGTCCTAAGGCAGGAAGGAGGCTTTCAGGTCAGATCCGGATCAGGTCTCAAGTTCAAATAATAATTAAAATAATCCCCTGGGGAAGCAGAGACAGGAGGCTCCCTAGGGCTGTTGGCTAGGTAGCCCAGCCTGCTTGGCAAGTTCCAGGTGAGTGAGAGATGCTGTTTAAAATTGGGAAAAAAAAGTGGCCGGTGCAGAACAACTGTCCTCTGATGTCAACATGCATGCGTACAAAGTTGCTTGTGGACTCCCACACATGCACACACAAGTGGACACACACACACACACACACACACACACACACACACACACACACACACACACACACACACACACACACACACACACCCCTTTCCTAACACCTGCAGGAGGCGAGAGACCTTGAGGTTGCATTTCTGGGGAGCTATTGAGAGAAACTCACGTGGAACCCTCCTGCCATGGGTTCCTTACCAGGCAAGAACTGCCAGAGCCCTGGGCCAGCTCCCTCCTTCAGGGAGAGTGAGTGCAGAGCTCTGTGGCATGGAATTTCCTGGGGAAGCAGAGACTGCAGGGAAGCAAAGGCTTTTCAGTTTGGGGTGTGTGTGTGTGTGGGGGGGGGTTGCTACTGTAAGCTCCTTGTGCAGCACGGGGGAAAAACAGTTTTCTATTAAGCCAGAGGAATTATATTTATCGTGGTGCACCAGAATAGAACATGTGGCCAGCGTTAGCGGTGCAGCGCGCTACTTTTAAGGAATTCTGCACTGTCACGCAGCCCAGATGGAGATGCTGATTGGATTCTGGCTCCTTCTCCGAACACTATTTCCCCTTCTCTTTCTTCTTTCATCTGTACAGACCATATGGTGCCTTTCTTGTTCTGGGGGAGGAGGGGTCTATAGCAGCCTTGGTGCTGACAGGGAGGCCTCTTTGGAGCTGGTCACTAGCACTGTTACCTCCTGGCTGTCAGTGACCTTGGGAAGCCCTCTTCCTCACTCTAGGTTCTTAGCCTGTGAGTTGAGACCTCTTTGGGGGGTGTGTGTGTGTCACATATCACATGTTTACATTATGATTCATAACGGTAGCAAAATCGCAATTATAAAGTAGCAATGCAATCATTTTGTGGTTGGGGAGCACAGCATGAGAAAAAGGTTGAGAATCATTGCTCTAGGCCTTTATGTTCTCCACTGTAAAATGCCCTTCCTGTCCTCAGAGGCTTGAACCTTGCAGTGAACATGTCTTGTAAATTTTGGAGCCTGTTAGCTATTAGCAAATGGGATAGTGTTAGCGACATGTGGGCCTCGGGATCATGCTGGTCTGGTAGAGACAGCAGCTGTTTTTTGCACCCTGAGTCTCTCACAGGTATCGTTTTATGCCCTCACTCTAACATCCTGTCTGTGTGGCAGGCTCTGCTACCTTCTTCTGTTGAGGAGGGGAAGAGGTAGAGAGGTCAGGCTGGTGCCCTTGGGGGTACCCTGGCTGTACCTGTCTCCCAGGTACCACCCTGGACTGTGGGTGGATCATACCTCTTCTCCTCTCTGGAAGGCTGCACCCCTAACCCTGAGTTGGCTAGTTTTTATAGAAAGGCTTTTTCAAGTGGGGGGCACTCGGTATGCCGTTCCTGCCCTCAAAGCCCCAGGTGATGAGCTAAGCTGGACAGGCTTGCTTAGCCCCTTCCCTGACTGGATCCTGCTTCCCCTTCCCTTCCCTCAGCACTTCCTAGACAATGAGACCCCTGCATTAGGCTTTGCTTAGCGGCAACTTGACTCTAGACAGATGCTATCAGAGCCTCTCCAAGGAGGATTCGATTGAAGTGAGGAATCAGGAAAGGCAGTTTTTAAGATGATGCCAGAGCTGAGACTTGCAAGATGAGAAGGAGCCAATTAGCTTGAGAGTAGAGGGGTAGGTGCCCCCATGAGGGGGGCGATTTGTGCTTTGTTGTTAGGACAGGGGTAGGGGGACAAAGTGAGGAGAAACTGAAAGGTTAACAGGGTCACATCGGGCTCCCAGGTCACTCCCCAGTTAGTGAGCAACCGACTCACAGGTCCCCAAGACATGGCCTCGGAGAGAGTTGGGTGTGCGAGCCCAGCATGGGGAAACATGCTAGCTTTGATGTCCAAGTCCAGCTTTGCTCTCCAGTTCCAGCTATTACTCCCAGTGCTTCAGGGAGGCTCAGCAGCGTTTTGTAGGCTTACAATACTTAACAGCATGCAGTTGTGCATGGGTCTCGTGAGGGGTGATTATCTCCATATGTACCAAGCAGCCTCTTCTTTAGTCAGACCCCTTAAAGTCCAAGGCCCCAGGGCTGGAGAGAAAAGCTGGGATTGGCTGTCTGTAGGAGAGGACCATGAGTTCTCACATCCAGAGGCTTGTCTGATATGCGAAATAACAATATCTTTCTCTCTTTTTCTTTCTAGGTAAAAATAGCAACAGAAAAGACAGAAGAAGCAAGAGTCTCGAGAAAGCTGTCCGAGATGATCACGGTGGCCCTGTGGCCCATGAGTATGTCAGAGAGAGTAAGTGAAGCTCTTGGAGGTCCACTACCCTATTTCTGTCACCTGCCCATGGTGGGTATAGGCAGCTGGCATGGCTGGTCATATACACCCTGTAGAGGTATTGTCTGGACCTGTGTCTGTTCTTAGCCATTGTGCAGGAGTGCAGACATCTCAGCAGCTCAAACTTCTCTCGGGGCGTTGCTACCCCATGCAGGTTTTCCCCATTGAATTGCTTGAGTCACGTCCAAGTTTCCTGTCCCCTCCCTTAGACTCTGTCACTTGGAAGTCCACGTCATTGTGATCTCTTAGCTGCTCATAGCCTTGGTTGTGTATCTCTTGTCTCTCAACCCAGCACAGGGTCTGTGGTGGCATAGATAAAGCTTTCTATTCCCAGGATCTGTAATACTAGACCTGACAGCTTGCAGCCATGTGTAAGTACTTACCCTAGTATGTTCAGCGGTTGGTAGTAGGGGTGGGGATAATGGCTTGATTGCTAGAGTGCTTGCCTAGCATGCATGAAGCCTTGGGCTTCATCCCAGCACTTCACACACCAGGTGTGCAGCTAGAAGACCAGCACTGTGAGACCAGCACTGTGAGACCAGCACTGTAAGATCAGCACTGTGAGACCAGCACTGTAAGACCAGCACTGTGAGATCAGCACTGTAAGATCAGCACTGTGAGATCAGCACTGTAAGATCAGCACTGTAAGATCAGCACTGTAAGATCAGCACTGTAAGATCAGCACTGTGAGACCAGCACTGTGAGACCAGCACTGTAAGATCAGCACTGTAAGACCAGCACTGTAAGACCAGCACTGTAAGATCAGCACTGTAAGATCAGCACTGTGAGACCAGCACTGTGAGACCAGCACTGTAAGACCAGCACTGTGAGACCAGCACTGTAAGATCAGCACTGTGAGATCAGCAATGTAAGACCAGCACTGT